TTGGGATCTGCTAAATTCTTACCTGATGACAATGCATGTTTCCTCTTATTACAGCATCCAAAACATTCTTGACGCTATGAAAGGTATGCTCTCCTATAAATTAGACTCAGTATATATGATTATCTTGCATTACACCTCGGTTCAATATACAAGAATGCACTTGCAATTCAATTAGCTAGCTCTATTCAATATATTTGTTAAAATTTTACTATTCTTTCTACGATTTTATGGTTAGTACTCAAATACATTAATTTCTGCGATAGTATTCTAAAATTGAATAGCTTTATAATTGACGGATTTTAATTTCCAGTAGCAAAATACATGGTCCTTAGATCTGTTTACAGGACTGCAAGCTTACCTGCATTCTTATTATATTTTTCTGGAGCAACTTATGATTTATCACCTGATAATCACAAGCTTCAGGGCACTATTTTTTTAACAATATATTGTCTGATTCTGAGTAACTTACAAAGCATGAGAAAGTAGTTGACTCAAAATGTTAAATCTAGAGATGAGAGAGTTGTTTTTGAGATGCACTAGTTTTTATAGACTCAGTTAATTGTATTATGGTTGAAACAATGCATTTGGTCTTGCTTAGAGTTAATTATTTATATATTTCATTGTAATAACTTTCAGTTCAACTATTGGGCACTGTGCTGTTATGCATATGTTGTTATTTTCCATCTCTACCTTACCTTAATGTTTATTGATGAAGATGATTTTTGTTATTTCATTCCACTGAATGCATTTAGAGATTATTTACAACAAAGTACTTCACCTATTTTTTTCTCCTTTATGGATCTCTAGGCATTTGGAAGAAATTTCATCAGACCTTTTTCTGAGTTGGTTTTGGTTGGAATGCTGTCAGATGTTTCATAAACTCTTTGTTATGCCCTGGTAGGTTGTTCATTTGCCTGATCCATTCTAATTATGGGTTGTTTGGATGTCTTAACTATGTGTTTTTAAATTCACAAGATTAAAGCTTCATTGGGAGCTATTATGCACTTTAACCTGAAATTTTAGTTGTAATTCCCCTAGATAATAATAAGTCTCCAAAACATGGATTCTAATAATTTGGTGGAGTAGGAGTGCACGCACCACCAAAGCCACAGCCAGGCACATCAGTTTCCTCTCTAGCCTATGGCCAAGGCCATTTTGATCAGATGCGAGACTCTGTCCAACTCATATTGGATTGGACTGTTGCGAGTAGAACCAAATGGTAGGAGACTTGCCTGGCATAGCCTAGGCTGGTCGGTAGTCTTGCCTGGCACTATTTCTAATCTCCCGCAACAGTCCAAGCTCAGTTTATTTTGCTAACTTTATATCTTATCCTTACATAAGTTCTTTTGCAGGTGAAGAAACATTTTCATATGCCAAACTGATTGAGTTTTAGTATCCTAAATCCTAAGTCAATGAAGCTAAAATTTTGATATTATACCATGTTTCAATTTTATCTTCTGTGTTCCTATTATCTGTGCAACTAATATATTTGTATCAGTTATTAGGATGTAAGGGACCTTACTTATCATCGACCAATGCTGGTGACTACAAGTTACGTTTATTCGAGTGGGTGCTTGTGGTGGCGGGCAGGATTTATGTTTTAGGATTTCTATCATCGGATTTCCTACCTTTGTTGTGGTTCATTTCAGGCATTGGAGATATGGAGGAAGGTGGGTCAGATTGCATAGCTAGGGAAGGAGATAATCAGAACACTTTTCCCCTGGTGCTGATTAATTCCATCTTTAAATATCATGGTATTCCAAGGTATCCACGAATCTGTACAGAGCTGTGGGTGTAAAGTAACCTTGCAATAATTTATGAACTATGCATAAGCCAAAACCGGAGTTGAACAATATCAACTGGTTAGCACTTCAGGTGTCCCATCTGTTGTTTGACATTCTACTTCAATGAGATCTCAAAGATATATTTACATGTAGTTTCTTTTTTATACTCTTTTGCCTAGAAAAAATTGAGGCTCCCCGTAGCAACGCACAGGCAAGTCATGATAAAGGCTGAGATTGGGTTTGCAAAAGGCGAAACAAGGACTCCAGTGAAATACGGGCAGGAATTTCATGATAAATTTGACTTTGCCCAGAGATAAAGAGGTCCAGTTAAATTACAGTGAGAATTATGTGTTGCAATCAGATATAAAGCGTTTATTTTCTACTTATAGCAACACTGTACATATGTATTTACTTTGCCCAGAGATAAAGAGGTATTGTATCACTGATGTCTTCATATGTATTGACTAAATAAAGTATCAGTTATTACATTTTTTTTGCTCGTGCATGATAGGCGGAGTGACCACTACTGACGATTTCAGTGAATTGGTATTCAGTCCTATTTGTAATCAGGCGCATGGTTTTTAAAGTGAGTTTTTTTAGGGTAATTCGTTGATTTAATTTATTGACTACAACAATGACCCAAACGTTTTTTATTTGTTTATAGGCCTATGCAATCGTTTGCTTGTTGATGAAGCCAGACATCGCTGAGTTCAAGCATTTGCTAAGGACACCGTGTCGCGTCTCATAGATTTAGAGAACTAAATAATATTGAAATTATTTACACGTTTATGACATGCACTTTGAATAGATGATAGACATGAATTTAGTTTAGGGCCTGTTTAGTTTTCCTCCAAAACGTCAAAATTTTTAAGATTCCCCGTCACATCGAATCTTTGGACGCATGCATGAAGCATTAAATATAAATAAAAAATAAAACTAATTACACAGTTTAGACGAAATACACGAGACGAATCTTTTAAGCCTAATTAGACTATGATTGAACACTAATTGTCAAATAACAACGAAAACGCTATAGTAGCGTTTTGCCAAAATTTTTGGCAACTAAACTGGGCCTTAATATAATAGTCATTTTATGCATTTTCATTGGTCAAACGGTTCAAAATATATGGATTGAGCAATATTTGTCTGACATATTTGATTGCTTCATTTAGTTTGTAATATCGGAGACTTCTTGCCAATATAAAACATTATTTTAGCCGCATCATGAAAAGATATATATAGTAGAGTTTGTTAGCCTACGGTGTCGTGCTCTTAGTGACTGTTAATTTCATAAACTTTGCTTTTTAGATTAAATGTCAGTTTAATGTCTTATAGTATTGTTATCTTATCATATGATCCATGTGCTTCTACCATAAAAATTTAGGGCCTGTTTGGTTCCAAATAAGTCACCTACTTATAAGTTAAAAAGTGAAATAAGTGACTTATTTTGCCAAACACCACTAACTTATAAGTCACCCCTGCTTATAAGTTTTAAGTTGGTTTACCTCACCTAAAACTTATAAACTTTTCGTAGTCCCACCCTTTTCGCATGCTTATAAGTCATCTTTAATGATAACTTATAAGTCATAATCATAACCAAAGTCACGACTTATAAAAAACTTATAAGTCACGAGCACGCTTTTCTGAGTCACCTAAATTAATATTAATCACCTGTCTTATGAAAAAAAAACCCTTAATTGTCCCGTACATAGCACGAGCACGCTTTCTGGTCGAAAAGAAAAGGACGAAGAAAAGACCAGCGTCCCATCACCGTGCCACTGCGACCCCGCTTCGTGACGTCACGTCACCTCCACCGTCGCCTCGCGTTTCCCGCCATTAACTCTGCAACCTTTTTCCCTTCCTTCCTCGCGAGGCCCGCTTCCTTCGATTCATTCCCCGTCTCCCCTCTCCAAGGCCCAAAACCCTAACCCCTGAAACCCCCGTGGCCGCCGCCGCCGTCGCGATGGCCGCGCTCTCCGCCATCGCGCTCCAGGCCGCCATCTCCGGCAGCCTCCGCCTCCTCAAGCGTAATCGCTTTCCGTCTCTCTCGCTCTCGCTTCGGATAGATGTTCCACAACTTGTTCTTCAGTTCCATTTTTTTAAAAAAAAATTGTTGTTGGTTTTGCAATTTCTCTTGGTTAGTGGTGGCCAACAAGATGAACCTGCGCGAAGCCAAGGACGACGACGGGCGGAACGCGCTCCACCTGGCCGCGGAGATGGGCCATCTGGACGTCTGCAGGTTCCTGGTGGAGGAATCGGGCTTCGATGTCAATTCCACCTGTGCCGAAGGTGTGGCCGCCGCCATTGCTGTGGAATCTTGTGCCTTGGGGAACGCCGGACGGTGTGAAGCACTACCAGCATTCTGATTTCTGTCACTGAGATTCCACTCTTGTATTATTGTGTAATAGGCGGGACGCCGGTCCACTGCGCCGCGGCTGGGGGCAGCGAGAGCGTCTTGAGGTACCTTCTGGACCGCGGCGGCGACCCAGTGATGCCGGACTTTGTGGGCTCAACGCCACTGCATGATGCAGCGGAGGAAGGTGCCGTTTCTCACTTTTCACGGCGGCCTAGATTACTTCATTTGTCCACAATTTGCCAATGCTCTGTAGTGAGTAGGAGCCCTTGTGTGTTTGGACTGGAGTTTGTGCTAATGTTTCGCATTTCTGCGTCCAGGGCACTGCGTGGCTGTGAGGATGCTGCTGTCCAAGGGTGTTGATGTGGATCTACACGGTTGTCGTGGGACGCCGCTGCACTTGGCCTGCTCCAACGACCGGGATCAGGTTGTCCGGATCCTGCTGGCACATGGCGCGGATGTAAGTTGTTATTAATTTCACTCTTTCTGGGCCACACCAGCATTTGAGAGTAGGACTGGTAATATTCACAGGCCATGGCGAAATTTGTTTCATTTGATTGAACAATTGTCTGTTTAGGAGGTGCCCGAGTACACTCTGGTGGTCATACTTTTTAATATCATTTATCCATTATGATGATTAGTCATCAAAACTGTGATATATTTTACTCTACAGCCCAACAAGGTTGTCGGTCATGTCCTCCCACCACTCATGATGGCATATTGTGGGGGTTCTTTGAGATGCATGAAGCTACTGATTGAGGTCCAGTTGTTTATTTCTGTTGAATATGTTGTCATGATCATAAGCGTCGATTCTCTCTACAGCTATTTAAACTCTCTACTGTTAATTCTATAGGCTGGCGCAGATGTGAACTTGATTGCTCCCTCTGGAGTAATTTTGGCTCAGGCAGTTTGCGATGGCAGAACTGACATTGTCAAGTTCTTGCTAGAGGCTGGAGCTGATCCTAACATTCCCGATGAGGTGATGAACTGATGATGACACTGGTTTCAGATTCGTTTCTTATTTAGTTTGATACTTTGAGAACTAAGATCTGTTGGCCTCCTGCACATCAGATGGCTGGCTGCTAATCTAAAATCAAGGTTGCTCTGTGCTTATTGAATTTAATTTGTTCACATGTCAAGCAATTTTTGTATGCTTGCTATGTAGTCTAGTCTGTCTTTTGTTTAGCTCCATACTGCAGTGATGTGGTCAGCTATTCTATGATTTGTTGCTCTACTTACAAGTTACCTCTGTGCCATTCGAGAAAAAAAAACTTACCTCTGTGCGCATTTATTTTCATAATTCATTTTAGCTCTGCATCTAAGAAAGCTCTGCATCTAAGAATCATGGTATGAGATTGGCTAGAGCAGACCGTTAAAATGCCACTGTTGACATGTTAGTCTAGATTTACAACCTCGGCTCGGCTCGTTAAGCTCAGCATGAAGTTGGGTTTTCAGAGCACTTGATCACTTATTAGAATTTTGCAGGTACTAATTTTTCTAGCTTTCCTTCAAATCATAGCATTCTAGTTTATTTATTTAGCAATATCTAGAGCTGTTACTTCCATTGTGATAAATCATTGACTATCTCATTCTTTCTTTTTGTTGGCAAGTAAACTTGTAATGTTGGGATCTTTTTTGTGTTTCAGTCCAGATTGTATTACTCCTAGTTTTTTGGTACAATGCAGGATGGGAGAATCCCGATCATGTATCCAGCAGTTAATGGGAACCGGGAGCTTGTTGAAATTCTGTTTCCTAAGACAAGACCAGTTCCATCTTTGCCAGACTGGAGTGTTGATGGGATTATTAGAAGTATAGAATATCTGTTTTTCAAGCCTCAGGTACTTAAGACTATAAGTATAGTTTCTTATGTGCACGGCTCTCTCAGTCAAGCTTGGTGCAGCTCAATTTTATTAACTGTAGCATTTATGATGTTGGAACCCCATTGAGTGCCATTTTATTTGTGTAACTGCACATGCTATTGTGTTTAGGATGCAGCTGTGGTGGAAAAAAATATAGCTGATGCCAAGTCACAAGGAAAGGAAGCTTTCGCAAAGGGAGAGTACCTTGCGGCAGAATACTTCTATACCATGGTAAATGTTTGAGCGCATCTAATAAAATATATAACCGTTTGGAACTATGCAAAGTGTAGCACGGGTAGCCGTTAAGTTGTTTTCCTGAATGATGGAGGCTGATAGTTTATGTTAGTTTCTCCATAGTCTCTTTGTAGTGCATTCTGCATGGTTTACCAAGAATTTATCTTGAGTTACCACTGTTTGCTAAATATGATGCTATGCTATTTTTTGGTTTGCTCAGACCAGTGGGAAACTAAATGAAAAAGACCACTTTGGGTCGTTGTACTTTGAGTTGGTTCTATTTAGACCCTATACTTCAAAACCTGTTATTTTTAGCCTGCATTTAGTACTAGTTCTAATAAGTTTGAAACCCATCCTGAGGGTAGAATACATTTAAAACCGGTTATTCTTTGAAACCATCTTTAAAGATGCTTAGTTCTGTTGGTCCTCGCTGCTGCCTGACGGGTGTAAGCCGTAAAGCTTACCAGCACACTCACTCACTATGGCTAGAGGTAGAAGAAGATATTGAGAACAACTCACACACACACCGCACAAGCCCAGCGTTGGCCGAAAGCTCTGCTTCTGGATGTGGCAAACTGAACTGCCTTTACTAAGTTGCAGCGGAAACTATATATACAACTCTACCCATCTAATCCTAGTACACAGACATGCCAAAGCTACCATGTTGCTCGGTGACTAGATGTGACAACATGACTGACTTTGGCGCATGTCCTCGCTGTGGCTACAGCTGCAGGAGAATGAGCCTTTCGACTTTGCCCTAGAAGCTGGCTATAGTGCAGCAATAGGGAGCCCTTTCAAGCGGCGCTTCGCCCACAGCGTAGAGGGAGAGCAGCAGATTACTTTACAATTCTTCCCCTAATCCTGCTGCTAACCCTAGAACCTCCACCATGCCGATCATCTTCTTCACTCCGTGAATCAAGAAGGCCGAAGCGGCTTGGTGAGTACGTCCGCGAGTTGCCGACCAATTTCGACGAACTCAATGACGATCTGTCCTCCATCGACACGGTCCCTGAGGAAGTGGAACTTGACATCGATGTGCTTGCTCCGGTCGTGGAGAACCGGATTCTTCGCGAGGCGATGGCAGGCTAGTTGTCCACCATCGGCGCGGTGGGTGAGCTTCCACACGGGCAGTTTCGCCCAAACGGCCGCTGAGCCACCACACGCTTTGGCACGCCATTGTGGCCGCCGCCACGCATTCATCGCCCGCACGTGGACAGCGCCACCACTTTCTGTTTCAGCGACAACCATGAGATTGGAGCCGACCCGAGGAAGACGAGCACGCTAGAGGTGCTCCGCCGTCCGTCGATGTCCCCCGCCATGTCTGCATCGCTGAACACACTGAGCTGATTCTCTCGGGGATCTTTCATGAAGCGGCCGACGAGCCTGCGGTAACGCAATGTCCGGCCTCGTGTGGACTAGGTAGCGCAGACCGTCGACGATGCTCCGGTAGAGTGTTGCATCTACCTTCGCCGCGGTACTGGCCTTCATCAGCTTTAGCCGCTCCTCCATCGGAGTCACGCACAGCTTGCACTCAGCCATGTCGCTCCAACAGCTTCAAGGCGTACGCGCTCTGACCGAGCGTGAGCGCCTCCTTCCTCGCTCTCACCTCGATGCCTAGTTAGTAGGAGAGCGCGCCGAGATCGCTCATTCGAAAACGAGCCGCCATCTCGCGCTTGAAGCTGTCGATGTCCTCCGCACGTGCGCTGGTGACGATCAAGTCGTCCACATACACGTCGATGACGAGCTCCTCCTTCCCCCGTCGCCGCGTGTAGAGCGCGTGCTCGGTTGCACACCGCGTGAACCCAAGCTTGCCCAGCGTGGCGTCAATCTTGGCGTTCCATGCTCGCGGGGCCTGCCGCAACCCATAGAGCGCCTTGCGCAGTCGGAGCACCCTGTGCTCCGCTCCCTTGACGGCGAAACCTGGAGGTTGCCTGACGAAAACCATCTCGCGCCACCGCCTTTTCGGAAGGCTGATTTTATGTCCGGTGATGGACGCGCCCGGTCCTTCATCGCCGCCAAAGCCGAAAGAACGGTCGGATAGACTCTATGCGCGCTACCGGTGCAAAGACTTCCTCGAAGTCGATGCCCTCGCGCTGGACAAAGCCTCGGGTGACGAGGCGCGCCTTGTGCTTGACAATGGCGCCACGCTTGTCCCGCTTGACCTTGTACACCCACTTCAAGCCGATCGGACGGCATCCTGGAGGTGGATCGACGAGCTCCCAAGTCTCGTTTTTCTCGATCGCCTTCATCTCCTCCAGCATCGCCTGTCGTCAATTTGCATCGCGCTCGGCCAACGCGAACGTGGGTGGTTCCTCTGCATTGACGAGAAGCAGCTCTGGGTCATTGAGCATCTGACCCGTTAGGCCTGAGGACCCTGTGCCGCTGACGATGTCGTCCAGCCTGCGGAACCGCACCTCCTCACCGTCGTGGAAGGCATCCATGAACTCTGTGATGTCGCTTGGAGGTGAGGCGAACTCGATCGGCGCCGATGGAGTCCCCTCGTTCGCGGGAGTGGTCGGCACCAAGACTGGAGTGCTCGGCACCCGGCCGCAAAGCGTTGCTTGACACTACTCATGGACCGCTCGTCACCATTCCCCGGAGTGGTTGGCTCCCTTCTTTGGAGTGCTCGGCACCAATCTTGGAGTGGTCGGCACCATTGCAAGACTTCTCGGCTTCGCTACGGGAGCGTTCGGCACTCGTCCTGGAGTGGTCGGCACCACTATAGGACCGCTCGGCACCCCTCCTGGAGTGCTCGGCACCGTCCCAGGAGTGCTCGGATCTGTTGCTGGAGTGGTCGGCGCCTCCTCTCCAGATCTCCACCACCGTGGATGACCAAGTGCTCGACAACGAAGGTCTTGGTGAAGCCGCTTGGCTTCCTCGCGTGCGGACCGTCCCGGTCCAGCCGCCTTCTTGTCGAACACGACGTCGCGCGAGACAACCTTGCCTCCCCATGGGTCGTAGAGCCGGTACGCCTTGGTACCTTCCTCGTAGCCCAGGAGCACCATCGGTGTGCTCCTGTCCTTCAGCTTGGTAAGGCCGGTTTCGTCTTCCTGACGTGGCCGATGCAGCCTTCAGAGTCTTCCCGTGCCCTTCCACCACCATCACCTTTCCCTTCTCCTTAGCCTCAACGTCGTGCAGAGCACAAAACGTCGCCATCAGGTGAGTGGCTTCATCATCATCATCTGCCTGCGCCAGATGAGCCTCAGCCTTCTTCTCCTGCTTGCGATTTGGGCACTCCTTTTTCCAATGGCCTGTCTTCCCGCAGCGCCGGCAGGCCTTGAGGTCGACCTTCTTCTCCGAAGAAGCATTGCCGCGGCGCTTGCCATCGCCACTGCAGCTGGAGGAAGCTTCCCCGGACTTCTTCACCTTCATCCGAGCAACCCACTCTCGCCAGCAGCTTTCTCCGCCGTGCCGTTGTTCATGCCGCCGCTCCAGCGCCGTCCACCGTCTCACGACGGCCTGTCACATCTTCAATGGTGAGGGTGGACAAGTCCAGCATCGTCTCTATGGAGAGAGCGATCTGGATGTACTTCACCGGCACGGAGTGGAGGTACTTGGAGACCGTCTCTTCTTTGTCGATGGTGACACTCTGGCTCCTCAGCTTGCTAATGAGCGACTGCAGGCGGAGGGAGAAGTCCTCCACCGACTCACCATCCTTGAAGTTGAGGTTGGTGTACTCCTACTTCAGCAGCTGGGCCGTCGCCTTCTTTGCGCGGTCGGAGCCGACGCGCATCGCTGCAATGGCCTCCCACGCCTCCTTAGCAGAGTTCTTCGCCCCCAACGGCTCCCTGTACTCCGCCGACACAGCAGCGAGGATGGCCTCCAACGCTGACATGTCTTCTTCGTTGTCGGTGCCCTTGTCAATGGCATTCCAGAGCCGTCGGGCTCTGAGTTTGACCTTCATGGTCACCGCCCACTCGCCATAGTTGGTACGAGTCAGCGTCAGCCAATTGGTGCCGCTGACCTCCCGCACCGTGCGCATGACGACCTCCTGTCGTGGCTGCCAGGCAGCCACAGCAGCGTCGCTGCTGTCGCCCATCTCCAAACCGTCCATCATCGCCAGCGGTTAGTCCGGCGACGGCGCTTGTACAGCTCTGATACCACTTGTTGGTGCCCATCTCCAAATAGCTGCTGTCGCTATGCTATTTTTTGGTTTGCTCAGACCAGTGGGAAACTAAATGAAAAAGACCACTTTGGGTCGTTGTACTTTGAGTTGGTTCTATTTAGACCCTATACTTCAAAACCTGTTATTTTTAGCCTGCATTTAGTACTAGTTCTAATAAGTTTGAAACCCATCCTGAGGGTAGAATACATTAAAACCGGTTATTCTTTGAAACCATCTTTAAAGATGCTTAGTTCTGTTGGTCCCTCGCTGCCCTGCACAGGTAAGCCGTAAGCTTACCAGCACACTCACTCACTATGGCTAGAGGTAGAAGAAGATATTGAGAATAGCTCACACCCAGCGCACAAGCCTAGCGTTGGCCGAAAGCTCTGCTTCTGGATGTGGCAAACTGAACTGCCTTTACTGAGTTGCAGCGGAAACTATATATACAACTCTACCCATCTAATCTTAGTACACAGACATGCCAGGCTGCTATAGTGACTAGATGTGACAGCAGGACTGACTTTGGCCCCTGCCCCTGCTGTGGCTACAGCGTGGCAGGGGAGCCTTTCGACGCCTGCCCCTGCAGCGGCTATAGTGCAGCAGCATGGGAGCCCTTTCGGCGTCTGCCTATGCCGCGCGTACAGAGGGAGAGCAGCATATTACTTTACAAGTTCATTTTATATGTGATAAAAAATAGCAACAATATTTAAACCTATGGAAAATCTGCTACGCTCCTGAAGATATCTAAAAGTTACATAAAGGATTTTTGGTCCACCACACTATTATTTAATTTTGGAGCTTGTATCATAGAATAATAGGAAATCAACACGTCGTTCAAAAGTTTTGAAATTAAAATGTGGGTAATGTGTGCCAACAAGATTTACGTAAGTTTAACATATGCTCAGGAGTATCCAAGGAAAGGTTGCAATGTTTTGGCTAGTGTTTTATTAACAGAACACATTCTGCAGTTCTGAAAATATTAAACTACAGTACGTAGCACAGTAAAGGCATTAGGCCGTTTTTAGACCTCATTTGAACTGGCTTTGAGGGAACAGTGTTAAAATAGTCAGTGCAGGTATCAAAAGTGGACTTTTGCCTCAAAACAATGAAGGGAGTATGCTCCACAAAAGCAGTTCGATGAATCGTAAATCCGTAATAAATCCAGAGAAACTGGGTTCTTTCTATGCAGGTACTAGAGAACAACCTTGATGCTACCGCGTTTGCCAACCGGAGCCTATGCTGGTTGAGGATGAGGGAGGGGGCCAAAGCTCTGTTAGATGCCCGACGGTGCAAAATGATACGACCTCGTTGGTCGAAGGCATGGTATCGTGAGGGCACAGCTCTCAGCTTGCTGAAGGTACAGCAGCTGTGTCAAACTTAGTTTTGCAGTTGATCTAATCTCCCAAATGTATCTCACCCCCTTTTGGTACCTCTATGTGTAGGACTACGAAGGGGCAGTCAATTCATTCACCGAAGCACTGAAACTTGACCCTGCAAGTGATGAGATCAAGAAAGCCTTAAGGCAATGCTCTTGTTGCTATTGTTTATTTTCAGTCATTTCCCTAATTGGGCCTATTATCGTACACCACCATGCTATTTTTCAATTATTTCAATCTTCCAATTATTGATCAGAGTGGAGCATGACCACCTAAATTCACAACTATAGTAGACAGTACTCTATATGAACCTATAGGCGTTTGATTCTTGAAACTTGTAGGGAGGCCACCAATTCCCTGGCGAACGTTGGCTCCTCCGGAGAACAGAACCCATGAGCCGCTGCATCCATGCGCTCTATCTCACGTTAAGAATCTTTAACACTATGGGGCTCATCATAGCCTCATACTATATATTGATATATGTTGCCTTAAACGCACTGCTGGAAATACTAGTTTCGATCTGAGGCTGTATGTTTTGCTCCTTTGGGATGAAGCCTAAGATACCTGGCAATCAAGTGAGGTCGGGCAGCAACATATCAACGAACGTGTGTTGAACTAGTAATGTACAGAATGTATTTTGATGCCTAAGTGCACTTATTGTTCCTAGTGAAGTTGCAGTGCTAATGCTCCCTTTGTCAGATTCGTTTGGGTGCACACTTTCAGGCTTGCCCATTCATCTAAACCTGTAATGTGATCAGTTTCACCCATGCTTCACATTTGCCCTGCTGTTTTACTTGTTCAGCAGTAGTGTTCTTTGGCATCTTAGAATTTGCATGCCTCTGCCAAGCAGCGGTACACCATTGGCGGTGGGCGCAATTGTGTGGTGATCTAGCCAAAAACGTGTGATCACTAAGTGGATAAGTATTCAGATGCATGGTCTCATTGTCATGAACTCATGATCTAGTGAACAAGTTTGCACGGTCTTAACAAACTTCTAGATGAGCTCGATCGTGTCCTGGAAAGTTGAGTCTGCACCATTTTTATTTCTGGTTGAGCCGTTTGGTATATATATTGTGTACATGTTGTGACGTTGGAATCGGTTTCCCTATCTCATGATGAACACAATAGAGGAATATAGAGACACATGATCAGAGGAATGTTCTTTGGTCTCTACACTAAATATTAGTGATAACTCTAATGGAGAGCTTCCACGTGTATATATAGTCTAACTAAGACTCAAGTTTGGTAAGAATCCACACCGAGAACGGATTTGTATCCAGCTACGATCTAAGAGTTCGATAGGAATCTACACAGAGAATAAGCTAAGTACAGACAGATCCGACGCATCGCCTTCAGCCTGCGTTCCGGTTTCCCGTATTCTTGTTCTGGTAGTTCACAGCTACCCGGCCGGCCATACCCGGGCACATCAGCAATTACCGAGATCGAGGATCGCAAGCATGGGTTCTGCCACCAGCAACACCCGGGGTCTGGAATCCACGATGCACGCCAAAAACCCACCTCCGACGGCGTCGCCGTCGCTGCCAGTGGTGCGGGGTTCTCGTGGAGAACCACCAGCCACTGCTGACGCGCGCTCTTCGTCTGCTCCAGCCGCTGATGGTGTGGAAGCGTTGGGTTCTCAAGAGCCGCCACCGCCGCAGGCGCCGGCAGGGCCGCCTTCTAGAGTACGTCGTACGATTCTCTTTTTCGTTGAATTCAGATAATTAGCTGCAATGCTGCATTCATCACTTTTCTAGATAAACATTTTTGTAGATATATTTATGATCGATGGGAGTAATTGTTTAAGGCTTAGTCGTTAGAATGATGATTGATGGGGCTGGCATTTGTGGTTGGGCCATTTGTGTCTCGCAGAGGAGGAATCGGAGGAATAGGAGGGAGCTTGCTGTTGGGTCGACAGTGGAGCAGCCAGAGGCAGACGATGACACTAGCAGAGGTCAGTTCACTTGCTACATACTCCCATACTCCCTTCTTTCAATTGTAAGTCATTTTGGATCTTCTAGATGTATAACTTTTGTTATGCACCGACCCACTATATGTCTAGATACGTAATAAAAGCTATATATAGACTTATAAAAGTCAAAACTATTTATAATTTAGAACAAAGGAATTACATACTTGTATATATACTATTCCTTTCAGGCCCCGTTTGGATTGAGAGAATTCCAAAGAAAATTTGTAGGAATCACAGGATGGAGGAAAGGAACTCTGTGTGCGTTTGGAACACAGGAAGAGCAAATTCCTTTCCATTGGAATACTGTAGGTAGATGCTCATTTCACAGGAATCCAAACGTCCACTCTGATCTCTGGTTTTCTTTTCCTTTGCTGATGCCCGAGACAGTGCGTACAAATAAGAGATGGAGCCGTAGAGGTTAATGATTAAAAATGGGGAGTCAGTACAAAGGGCCGAAAGCAAGAGTCGAGTAGAATACTGCAAAGTGCTAGTGCATGACTTTTTACTGTATGGTGAGTAGATAAAGACCATGGGTAGAAAAATATTTAAATGAAAATGCTTAGTATTACCTTTTATGTTGGTTTCCCTTATTATTTAGACTAATTTAATTATGCATATTTACGGTCTCCTTTTAACGATAAATAAATAATACTCCACTTCTTGTATTCTAATTCCTGCTTTCTAAACAGCTGCTCCTTCAACTTTTATCTGTTTTTCATTCCTTTGTTTTGCATCCTCATTCCTTTCCCGTTCCTATGTTTTCTATCATTCCTGTGTTTTTCATTCCTACGTTCCAAACACGCCTTCAGTTTTCAAATACTTTGACATCGAGTTAAACTCTTATATGTAAATTTTTCCTAAAAGGTACTTTTTGGGGAAAAAAAGCATAAATTTGTTAGGATCAACATTTATATTTTAATACAAAATGGCTGCCAAAGCTATGTTCCTCAGACCATGTCATTGTCCAAAACATCGAGTATTAGCAGATAGGAGGGGGACAGGGGGCATAGCATTATGTTTATATGAGAGGGGACTGCTAGTGTAACATCAGCAGCAATTCGGCGTTTCACGCCTATATAGATAGCAGTATAGCACCATTACGCGTTTAGGAACACGAACATCTAATACATGATGCATTGCGTCTTCTCTGCAGGAAACAAACGCCAGATGGTTGTGCATTGTGTTTTTCCAGAGTGGAGCGCGGGGTCCAGCGTGCAGGTATTTTTTCATAACCATCCCAAAATAATTAATGTTTTGGGTTTAAATCCGAAGTTAGACTATTTCATATTTCATCAAATTTATTAAAACAATACTAATATTGTGATACTAAATAAGTATTATTAGATTTATCACAAAATATATTTCCATATTATACCTATTTGATGTCATACATATTGAAATATTGATGTTTTCTCTATAAATTTGGTTAAACTTAAAATGCCTTGACTTAGGATAAATCTAAAAGCATCAGTTATTTTTGGATGTAGGGAGTATAATTTTTTTAAGAGAGTTCATTACATTTCATAAATGCCAAAGCCCTGATCGATTGCAGATTCAGTTTGAAAATACTAGCATATGATGGTTTCTGGTTTGAATTAGTTTATTTATCCTACATTATTAGACACTAATATATACACACACATTATTGAGCCTTCAAGTTTCCATTATCTAAAGAAATCAGCCTTTCGATCAGAGAGATGTAAATTAATCATGTCATGTTGTCCTTGTAGTGAATTAAGAGTACTATGATTACTAGTAGTAGTTCCCAACACCCTGCTCCTTTACACTGAGCTAATTTCCATTTAATTTGGCAGGTAAAGATAGAGCATGCTGCTGATCATGTGGTTGCCACGGCGCCAGCTCTTCTCACCTGCCCGATATGCTTGAACGAGCTGGAGGAGCCGTCAGTGACGACCTGCGGCCACGTGTTCTGCGACAAGTGCGTCAAGACTCAAGAAAGCTGTCCGGGTTAACAAGGCATGCCCGAACTGCAGGAAGAAGCTGTCTAGGAGCAGTATCCGCCGTATTTACCTTCCCACGTCCGGCAGCTGAGGTGAACCGTACCATCTTCGTCGCATCCGGTGTAGCTGGGATTAGCTTCATCAGCTTGAAATATAATGGATGCTTGGAAATTAAAAGAATTACTCGATGCCGCCACTAGTTTCTTTTTAATACTAAATCCGTTCCAAATTATAGTTCGTTTGACTTTTTTGACCCCAAGTTTGACCACTCGTTTTATTCAAACATTTGTGTAAAATATCACTTCTTTTATTGTGGCTTGCTTTATTAACAAAAGTTTTTCAAGAATGACTTAAATTTGACTATATTTGCACATAATTTTTGAATAAGACGAGTGGTCAAACTTGAGGTAAAAAAATCAAACGAATTATAATTTGGAACTGATGGAGTACAAAACATGCTCCACCATGTTGTTGCTGGGATGGAAGGGCAGCAAAATGCATCAGTTAGACGTTCATCTTGTAATGAACAATGAGAAGAACATCAACTAACATGCTAGTAGCAGTGAAATTATAACGATCATGTGCATAATTGACACGACATTTTACATGGAAAACTTACTAAGTTGAGGATAAAAACCACATTATCAACCGGTCCATGCAAACTTTTCTGTAGTCAACAACTGTTAAAAAAGTGTTCTCTAGAGCATCTAGATGATGCAACAAGAGCAACACATTTATCAAGTTATAAAACTAAGCAATAAATATATGAACAACAATCTAAGAGGCATGACAACAGTCAAAACAAAGAAGTTACATATTATGTCTCCATTGGAAATCAGTTTATATCTCACAAATCAGACTCCAATGTGCACAAAATTTACTGGTCATATAGGTCCAAGAGTGTAGTAACCTCTCATGAAGTTCCATTTAGCAAAATTGCTTCGTGCTAAAAATGCAGTCAAGCCCTAACTGACAACCCCCCCCCCCCCCCCCCCCACCCCCCCACCCCAACCAACCCGGACAAAGTCACTTCTCTTCTCTTCTATCACTT